CCTCCTCACAGAGGGGTGCTGCAGGGGCGCTCCGTGAGCACCAGTGCTCTGAGTACCAGGTATCCACAGCTGCGCTGTGGAGCCACTGCCCAGGAGGGCAGGCAGGAGGAGGCCGGTCTGACTCACGCCGCTCTTGGAGAATCTCCAGTCCACTCAGTCACTTCACACTCCTCAGAGAGGGCCAGCTTCTCTCTGCAAGGCTAGCACAGGGCAGCCCAGATAGCCTTCCCCAGCCCCAGTAGGATATCCCGGCAGGATACCCAGCCAGCCCAGACTGGCTCATGGAACATACCTCAATAATGGGAGCAGCCGGGTGCGGGAGTGAGATGTGGTTCGCAAGGGAATCCCAGGGCGTGCTCTGGGGCACCTGCTCTTGGCTGGGCTCGGCTGTGGGCCCCTACGTGGCAGAGCCGTGCTCCAACCCATGCATGTATGACATGCAGCACGGGACTCAGCTTGCTTGCTTGGGTTTCCTCAGGTGAGCGCGAGAAAAGGATCCAGGGCCAGTGGCTTCCCGGGAAATCCCAGCAGTGCGTGGGAAGCAGGGTGTGCCACCGAGCAAGGAATGGTCAAGGTGAGTGGGGGTCGCTCTGCTGGGAGTCACCACATCGCCCTGGAAGGAGGTGGGAGAGCTATCTAAGGGTGAGGAGACTGTGCCCTCAGATACTCATGCATCCAGTGCCGCTAGCTTGCCCTGTTTCGTGTGCTCTCTTGGCCAAGGAGGAGAGGACAGGAGAGGGCAGGAGGGGAGGACAAGGGAACAGAGGAAGGGAGAAGGCGGGGAGAGGAGGAGCTCTCTGCAGCCCTCCTCGCTGACCAGCCTTCCTATGCAGAAGGAAGGGCCAATAGTGGGGGCACCACCAGCGTCTGCTTCCGGACTCCTCAGAACCTTGAGGCATCCACCGCAAGAGAGCTAACGAGTGTCCCGCTCTCCTTCCACACACCAGGTAGAGCTCCTAAGGGCTCACTCCCGCCCTTGCCCACAGACCCCAGGCAGTGTCAGTCCAGCAGAGACTAGAAGAAGCTTGTTTTGTAACACTGAATGTTGCTGGCTTTCCTCTTCCCACTCCACTGCCCAAGCAACGTTGTCCAGGCTTTGGGGCATTCCCTCCTGGGGCGTGGGGTGGGAACAGCTTTGAGCATCAGACTCCCTGTGTTGATCACTGGTTTGGACAGAGGCATCTCAAATATCAAATGGTTTTGTTACGCTACAAGCCAGTGCTTGTTTATGGTTGTTTCTCTGCATATTAAAAAAATCTTTAATTTTGAGGAAATGTAACCCACATGATTTTCATTAACACAAAAATAGTCTGATGTTCCTTTTACATGAATTCTTTGATGTTTGGGGGAAATCTGTCCTTATAATCTTTTCTTTAAAAGCAGAAAGGATTTGCTCTTGAAATACAAACTCTCAGAAAAAAATGACTTGGTGGACCATTTTGAGTTCATGCTGGCTTTATTTCATATGTCCTCTCTATGCACCCTACCTATCAACCAACTAACCAACTTACCAGGCAACTAACTAGTCACTAACCAACCAGCCCACATGTACTTGTCCCCTCAATACTGCGCCAGTACCCAAGCACACACGAAAGCATTATACACAGGAGCTCAAGGAATTTATAGTCTGAACAGAAAAGGACACTGCAGATCACTTGAGCGAAGTCTGAGGCACAAAGTTAGGTTCCAGGGCCACAGAAACTATCCCAACGTTGTCCCTGCCCCAAAGAGCTCATCAGGGAGAGAACAAGTGTACCGACCACTGACTAGAATCCAAGTCATGTTGGGAAACTACAGTCAGATAAGTAAAAGGAACATGTCAGTGTGGGAGGAAGGTGGGGCAGATGGGACAGACCTGTCCTCCTCTGAGCTGGCCCACGGCACCACCTTTGCAGGCGCAGCCCTCACTTCCAGTCCGTGTGTCTCCGGTAAGCTTCCCAGCATTCCAAGCTGGCTTGTTAGGGAGATGCATGGTAGGATGACGATCTATGGTCAGCAGTCTCCGGCGTTCCCCTTGTAACTGTGCTGTGTGCCAGGAATCCATGCACATGACGCTGGACCCGGGGATGGCTGTGTGCGCTGGACGCACCACCACTGACCACTGCTCCTCAGTGGCTCGCCTCTCTGTGTACCTCTATCTCCTGGAGACAGTCTAGGATTGAACTTAGGCTGCCAGGAAATGCTGGAGTGTCCAGAAATGATTGAGCTTATTGCAGGAAGTATGGGAGCAGCTGAGATAGGCCATAAGCTAGGCCCCTCGTGCTGGACACTGAGCTCTGTTGTGAATGCAGAAGGAAAGTTCTGGAAGGAAGTGGGAAGTGCCGCTCCAGTGGATGCACAGGTGCTAAGAAAGCAGACGGCTTGATACTGGGGCTGGACAGAAGACCGATCCAGACACAGCTTTGCTTTCACCTGAGGTTGAGCCCAGGGAAGTGCCCTGTACCATTTGTACTCTGTGAGGCTGCAAGAGGTGAGGAAGTTGCAGGAGAAATGCTGGCAGCTGGTGGAGCTTGGCTATAACCCTCGGAAGAAGAAGATCTCTCGGCCTGAAAGTGTGGGGCAGCGCAGCCAGCCTCAGTGGAGGAAACGCTGCGCTCCCAGCAGCTCTGGCCAAGGCCTCCGGTGAAGGCAGCCACCCTGTGTGCCGGGTTCAGCCTCATGAAGGAAGCAGATGCCTTCTAGAATTGGCATAATGTCAAGATGCCAGGCTGAATCAAGCCTGCGTAGTGCAGCTGGCCCCGTGTTAGGGCCACCATCGCTGGAGACGGCTGGACTCGGCGGCCTCCATCACTCTGACAATCCTGAGGCCCAAGAGCCACACTGGACCCACCTGCCTGCCCTCTGTGGAGGAGCAAGGACACCTGGGGTCAGCACATCTGTTTACTGGGTGGTTGGCTGAATATTTTAAGCCCTCTGTCGAGACTGAATGTTCAAGGACAGATTCCTTTCAAAACGCTACCTCCTGCTGACAGTTGACCGTGCCCTGGTGTCACCCAAGCCCCATAGGATGTGCATGGGAGGGACACTGCTTTCACAGTCCCACCTGTAGTGCCTGCTGAGGCCCTTGGCCAGCGTGAGGAGCCACAGGCTTCCTTCTGAATAGGGAAGACAGAGCGGGTGCCGTCTGTCATTGCAGATGTTGCAATGACAAGGGGGCGTTAGACACGACACAGACTTCAGAAAGCAACAGCAGGGGCTGCAAGGACCAACTCGGATCTGAATTAAAGTTCCTGTATGTGTGAAACTCTGTCTCAGAGCGTTCCCTGCATGCTACAGAGAAATCGCTCAGGAAAGGAAGCAGCCGCAGCAGCTTGGTCCTTCGGTCGGCACCGCCCCATCGGGCAGCAGCGGCCCGCGGCAGGGTCAGCCTTTCCACCAGCCACAGGAGTAAGGCGGTGGCGCAGTCTCAGAGGAGTGCCTGGAGGTTTTAGCAATAAAACGTTTTCAGTGCAAATGTGTACACGATTGTTTGGGCAATTTCACACTTAGCAGAGTACACATCGTGTTTTATATGCCCTTGGAAACCAAGATAATCATTGCAACTCACATTATTGTGTTATTCTCTTTGTTGCAGCGGCCCAGATCGGAGCCTACCAGAGCTCGCAGGTCCACGTGGAGCTGCGTGCAGAGCGATGAAGGCGGCCTTCCTGGCGCAGGCAGGCTTCACCTGTCACGTGCACAGGCGCCGAGGCGGTCTGCTGAGCTATGCGGTGAGCGTTGGAAGTCACCTCCGTGGGGCAGCACAGCTGTTAAGGCTGAAGATACGACATTTCTTTCTTGTCATGCACGTAGGGAAGAGGGTGGACTAGCGCGCTGACACCCATGACTTCTGAGTTCCAGCTAGCAGGACGCGGGCAAGGGGCAGCGCGGAGGCCAGCTCCCACCTGCGTGCGAGGAGCGCCTGCTGCTCGCCGCTTCCTTCCGGACGCCTTCTGCAGGCCACTCGTCTGCTTCTCCTCCTCCTGCAGCCTCTTCTCTTCCAAAGGCTCCTTCGCCTTAGCCTTAAAACGCGTCAGAGCGCCTCACCCTCCATCGCGACCCTGGGCCGGCGCTCCTCACGTTCACCGCCCTGCGGATCCGTGCACCCCGGGAAGTATCATTTTAACCAGGCCTCACAGGCTTCAGCGCTCGTAGGTCACCTGAGGCTGTTAAGATGGGTTCATGATCTCGGGACCAGGGTCCTGGCAGTCACTGTGAACACCGAAGTCTGAACGCTCTTCTCCTCCTCTGTCTTTTACTGTCTTTTTTTTTCCAGTGATCAAATAATTTCATAGATCTCAAATTTAAATTTTGTAAAATGTGAATTTTAAATGAGGTGAAATTACACAAATGTTACTTTGAATTTTATTTAAATTGTATAATGTTGTGACATGAAAAATTCCACATAGAAATCACAATAATTTTATTGAAGTAAAAATATAAAGATAAGATTCTAATACCTAGGTGCTTTATCCTGAAATACTCCAATGCAGAGGACATACGCGCTAAGTCACTGCGCACGGGAGGCACGTGCAGCTCAGACAGGGGAGCACCCTGCTCACGTGGCTTTATTATAAATAATTGGGAACTATTTCATCTTTTCAAACACAGATAACAAAACTGAAAATATAATGTTTTCTCCTTTTATCATTATTTCATTTTATTTTTGTACCATAGGTTGGGAAGTAATATTCCTTATACCAAGACTGGCAAGGAAGAAATGAAAAGAGGAAAAGAAAGAGATTTTATTGTTTGCATTTAAAATTGTTATTGCACAGTATAAAAATGAACCATAGTATTCATGGTAACAATCACAATTTTTCTTTTCTTTGCATAATATTAATTAGCAAACATTTGAAAATGAGAGGTTGTAAAAAGAAAGAAAAGGACTTATATTTTAGTACCTTTAATGACAATGCTTCCTGCTTTTTGAATACAGGGTTCTGTACTTTCATTTAAAAGAAAATTTAAAATAGTAACAGAAAAAAATGAAGGAAGAAAGTAAAGAAAGGAAAGCAGAAGGAATGAAGGAAGGAAAAGCGGTGACACAAACAAAATGCTCATTTCTTTCACTTAACAATAAGCAAAGAAGGGTAGAAGTCTTTCGGAGAGGGAGAGACTCTCCACACTGCTATCCAAGACCACTACAGACAGGAAAACTGTGTAACGCCTGCAAGCATCATGTCTGAGGCAAACGAGAGATTGTATGCACACATAAATATAAAAATACTTGATGGTAAACTTTAAAACTTTTTTCTTAAAAATGCAAAGAGCTTGTTTTTCTCAAGTGGTGGAAAGCTCCTGAAGAATGACGAAGCCACGAAGCCCCACACTTTGGTGATGTCACCTCGGAGGGACCTTTTCCTTTCCTAAGGTAGGAGGCCTGATAATTCACTTCCATTTTCTCATTTTGCAGCAACTCACATTTTGATCTTAAAATTGTCACTGCGGCCTGGGGCCGCGCTGTCGGGCTGGCATGCCCAGAACCTGCTTCATAAAATGGGGCAGTGACTTAGAAGTGCCACGAAAGCTGCGTCCCCAGATTCACTTACAATAGATCGCCCTGCGGGAAAATCCTCATTAGACGGATTCTAGCAGCTGGCAGCTAGAATTTTCTTTGTTACCTGATTTTGATTTCTGTGATTGCTTTTATGTATGGTTGAGAATTGTGCCAATTTTCTTCACTGATGTTAATGTAAATAATCGACTCTAGAGAAGCAGGCTGAAGGAGGAGAACACGAAGAGCACTGCGTCTAGGCGAGCGATGGAGGAGAGACTGCACTGAACGCTTGCGCGTCCCTGCACGGCCGAGGAGCGCGTGGTGCGCTGTGGCTTAAGCAGAGGCGCGTGCAGTGGAGCACGGGGGTCCGCAAGCTGCACACCGTGCTGTGCTGGCTTTGCAGGCCTCCGGATGCATCCTTCCTAGCAACTGGAGCAAGGTGGGCCTGATAAGCATAACTAATCCAGTTAACTAGAAAAAACTTAAATTCACATGGACTAGCAAGGTGAAGGACGGTAGATGTGACACCTTAGGGAACGGAGTCCCGCATCTGTGTCACTGCAGGGGACATTGAGAAATCACCCTCTCCATTCCCTTGGGTTTGCTTCAGCTTCATAGACACCGAGTACTGCTTTCCTATAGAGTAGCAAAGGAAGTATTAAACATGTGACTAGCATTTTAAGAACTTGATATATTTCACATTCTTAAACTTTATTCGGGCTATAAATATATCTGCATGTCAGTCTGTTTGCAAAGTAAATGGAATTTGTAGCACGGGACAGGAATTCCATTTTTCTCGTGTTCTGTCTGTACGCGGTCCCATCCATCTCTTTCTGAAAGCTGCCTTAGGAAAGGCCCTCACGCTGCGATGCGTCTCTGCCACACACTGCCCACCTCACACACTACAGTTTATTATGGCTTATGAAACAGAATTTACACTTGAAGCTGGATTAGCTGAAATCACCTCCAAAGGAAACTGGCTTTTAAAATCACCAATCTCTAACAACGCAGATGATGCTGTTCTGAACTTCCATCAAAACTGTGCAACAGTATTAGCCGAGCTGTTAGCGGGGTGCAGAGAGACAACACTGTTTCACTGGTGTCCCACATCGTTCCTGAAGGGCGGTGGCAGGCCTGTCTCCACTCCACCTGCCTGGTCATCACCTGCTGCCATACTTTTGCAGTGTGATCCAGTAGTAGTGTGAGGTGTAGCCAGGCAGCCTCTGCCCTTCTTAAGCCACTTAGTGAGGGACATGGTGTGACACACAGTGACCAAGAAGAGACGTCGTAGCCCAGGGGCCCCAGTGCATAGCCAAGAACCTTCTCAGTGTCCATAATGCCCGCTTGCCACTGGGAGGGAGTCAGTGTTGCTGGTTTTGAAGCTCTCGTGCAATCCCTCAGCTGGAAACTCCTCCGGGCTCGATGCGTAGATGCGACTTCCCGCACGGTGCTTTCAGAAGTCCAAAGGCCGAATCATCATGGTGGTGGAGCGCAAGGAGTAGCTGGGCCCCTTGAAGTAGTGCCACTTGATGCCGTTCAGCTTCCCGTGGTTCTGCCCAGCAGTGTAGAACATCCCGTTCAGATTGGAGGGGCCGCAGGCATCAAACCACCAGCCTGAAAAACGTGTGAAATGAGCAGATCAGAGAGAAACATTTACGAGTGCACTGGACACCTGGGAAATACTGGCATTAGCGGGGGGAGGGGGGAGGGGGTGGGGATGGGGGAGTAGGGGAGATGGGGGAAGAGTGGGGGGAAGGGTGGGGGCGGGGGGGGGGGGCGCGTCCATCCCTGCTGCGATTGCAAGCAGGATACTCTCTGTGAGCATTTCCCACTGGCCAGACCACTTGGCCGACACTGGCGTGGTGCGAGTAGAGCATGAAAGAGACAGATGCTCACGAAGCAGCTCTCAGGGCGCTCTCCGGGGAGCCGCTTCCCACGGTGGCCGTGGGAAGCCTCAGCTCTAAGACACACTCTAAGTAGGGCTGGGTGAAATGAGCAGAAGGAAAACGCAGATTCCCACGAGTGGCCTCCACCTGCGGCCCAGGACTGGGGACAGAACAACTGTCCGCAAAGTCCAGTCGCTTGGACAACTGACGTCTCCAAGGAAAGACGCTCTCCATTTACTTTGTGAGTTTGTCAAGAACCGGTGCCCAAGCTGCTTGTAAAATTAAATAGGGAATTGTGTTGACTGTGACACTCAAGTTGAATTTTAATCTGCCCTGTGTAAAGCTTAGAGCCACATGGGAAGCCGGAAGGACACAGACAGAAGAAAAACAAGTTGCAGAGGAACCTAGGAATCTTGTGCTCGCATAAGGAGGTTGGGTTACCCAGTTTTCTTTCCTTTTATTTTCTTTCCTTCTCTTTTCTTTCGTTTTTTCTTTTTTTTAAATAAATTAAGATCTAAGATTTTTAGATTAAGCACAGTACTTTTTTTCCCTCGCCTGAAGCAACACCAGTGAAGTCTTTATGGGGAGATTTCTGCCAGAGACATTTGGAATATTTGCGTTATGATACAGCTGACCTCTCTTGGATTACAGAGCTCCACCACAGGGACTAATAGCTGCAGAGCGTGCTGTGTGGCTGATGTTTGACTGTAATATGAGCATTATCTTGCAGACTTTAGAAAACACGAAATGAAGAAAAGCTAACACTCATTTTGCAGGCTTGAAGGAGGGCTTTGCGCAGTCGCACTGGAGGTACAACCAGCAGCGCCCGGAGCAGCGCGCATGCGGGCAGTGGACGTGGCGCCGGGATCGCGCGTGTCAAACGCTGCCCGCAACAGAAATGTTAATGCGGTTCACACAGGAGGAAGGAGTGGGTCTCCTTAGGCAGTGAAGGAGGAACTGGAGCACTCATCTTTCCTTCTGCAAGCAGGTGCAGAGGCCGGAATTCGATCCCCAGGCCTGCCATGCTGGCCCTGCCACCAAAGCGCTCTGAGACGGCAGCTGAGCCTGGGCGTGGTGACACGCACCTGTAATCCCAGCTCTTGGGAGGCTGTAAACAGGTGGGTCACCATAAGTCAGATCTAGTAGTGAGACCCTGAGCACCCTGTAGACCTTCCCTAAAATACAGGAAAAAAAAAAAAAAAAGAAAAGAAAAGAAAGAAAGAGTAATTTCTTGACTTTCAATTGGTACGCCTAGCAAAAACTGTGCTCTTCCCGCTGGAAGCGGCACTCTCATTCGGGGAGCCTTGCTCTCCCCAGAGGACTGCGGAGGGGCCGGACGCACTGACCTGTGCTGCTGCCCAGTGAGGAATGGGGGAAACGTCCGTAGTGTGGGCAGCCTTCCAGAAACCCTGATAGAAGGCCACCAGGGCTTGATCACTGTCAACAGGACACAGTCACCCAAGGCAGAGTGTGTGCAGACAGCCTTTTGTTTACTGCCCTAAATCGACTGGAAAGGCACGGTTCTGGAGGAGCCGTCTGGCTGCCTTTAGCTCCACTCGTGGCTTTTCTGGTTGGCAGGCCGCGGGAAGGGGACTGCATGCTCTTGGCTGGTCTGCTCCGACTGGCCCGTTCTTGTGAAGCTTTTTAGCTTTATCAAAGCCACATCCCATAGACGTCCCTACTTATAATGCTGACGCCCACTGTGTTGATTTTCCTTCATGTTCTCATTAAAAGTTTCACAGTGCTCAGAATGACAGATGTGTTCTCTCCCCTCATGGAGGACTTCACACGTGACAGACAGATGAGAAATGCATGCACGCAAACAAAATGACTATGGCCCTGACCGAAGAATGCCAGGAGGAAGAGGTGCTCTGAGGAGACCCACACAGGCTTTGTGCATTCGGAGGAGCTCAGTGTTCACAGTGACCTAAGGAGATGGGGAGGCGGCCAGGGGAGCTGTGAGAGGCTCCGCCAAGCCCACGGGAGAATGCGCTGCGTGGGACGGGGGGTCGAGGACAGGAAAGGCAACTTCCAGGACAGGGAGGTGGAAGAAAGGTCGGGAAGGAAAGCTATCCATCCTCCATGGAGGAATGCGTGGCCTGGCCGCCCACCATGCCACCAGCAGGCACACAAGTGGCTTTTCCAAGCACAGGAGCCAGCGCTGAGCCAGGGAGACTGGACCAGCTGGGCTGCTCTCCAGCCAGTCATCACCCGGATCCTCGTTTGCGTGCTCTGCCAAAGCCATCTTGGCTATAGGTCCCACAAGGAAAGGGAAGAAGCTGAGCCTGCAGTCACTGCAGCACCCTTACTGCATGGACACACCTACGGCACAGGGGCAAGTAAGGCAAAGTCCTCCAGCCAAGTTATGCACGCTTTTGTATAGGAGGCAAATTACTAGACAGTACATGATAACCATCAAGCAAAGCACTAAAGCTAACACCATGGCAACAAGCAGGCAGAGGGCCTCAACTTCCTGGAAGGCCCAGGGTTCTTTATCACCTAGGCTGGGTCCTAAGGACAGGTACAAGTCCAAACAGGAAGCTCCTAACTCAGTATGAACCCTGGAAGAGCAGAAGAGGAGGTCTGCCATGGGCAAGGGAGCCAAGAATAAGCAGCGGGGAGAACACAGAACTTCTCATACACTTGTAGAGAGCCTCCGAGTGATGGAGACCCTGGAGAGTTAGCGTAGGAGTTAGCAGTTCTTGTTCTTGATTCTGACTTCACCAGTTAACAGCTAAGAGATCCTAGGCCATAGTACCAGTAGTTTGATATTTATTGATAGTCAACGTGTGCCAGAGACTGTGAATATGTCTACATCCATCCATTCTCCTACCCATCCATCCTTCCATCCATCCACTCATCCGTCAACCACCCACTAATCCACTCAATCATCCATCCACCCACCTATCCAGCCATTGAATCATCTATCCATCCATCTATCCATCTATCCATCCATCTACCCATCCATCATCCACCCACTAATTTGCTCATCCATCCATCTAAGCACTCATCCCTCCATCCTTTCATTCTTCCATCCATCCACCCACCCATCTGTCCATCCCTTCATCTACCTACCCATCTACATAACCATCCACCCATAATCTATCCATCCACACTTTCAACCTCCATCCACTGATCCACCCACCTACCCACTCATTCACCCACCCATCATCCACCCACTCATCATCCATCTATCCGTCCTCTATCCACTGACCCACCTACCCACCCACCTATCTACATACCTCTTCTCTAATTTTATCCCCCTGTGGCTGCATGCACAAGGCAAATACCACAATAAGGACATCATTGCTCAAAGAGCAAGGAACTTTCCCAAGGTTACATTCATGACACATGGGTTGTGGGGTCTGATCTAACCAGTTTCAGACCTTAAAATGGCAGTTTTAAGGATGAAATGCCTCACTAACCACTGTTGCCTGTAAAATGGTATCTACACTCCTGGTGTAATTTAGGAAATGGGGTCAAGAATTTGAGGGCAGGAAGAAAGAGGACTTGCTCTTTCATCACGCTGGAATGATTTAATGATGAAGACAGTGTTCCTGGTGCTAAGAAAGCTTCTTAATTGTTCAGTCAGGTCTATCAGAGAAACAGGAAAGTAACTGCATCACAAATGGGGATGACTTACAATAATCGCACTGTAAAACAGGCATTAAGAACTTAATATGATTTTTTAGTGTACTATTTTGATTCTATGAAGAATCAAAATGTTCAGTTCTTTGTTTTTCGTAAAGCCATTGGGTACACTATGATCAGATGAGAAGAAGACAGGAATTACGATGGCGGAGAACAAGACAGAAGGGCGCTGTTTCTCGCACCCATCCCCACTGCGTCGTGTTATACGTGACACTGCAGAGCGGCGCAGGCAGGGCTCTCTGCGCAGGTGGGTGCCCTGTCCTGCCTGAGGCTTGCACTAAGACTGACTGAACACAGGGATTTCTTTTGATCAAATATTTCAAGTAGTTTTCTGTTTTCTGTGAAAAGAAATAAGCATAAACTGGGCTGTGGAGCCCAAGCCTGGTGCAGGGTGACATGCACCTCTTCCCACAGGCAGGCACAGGTGGGCAGGCTCTGGCTGCCTGTGTGCCCTGGCGCTAAGAGCAGACCCTGCTCAGGCCCAGGGCTGTCTGTGAAGGAACCCATGGCTGGGTCACACGTGTGCGGCCCTGGGGTGTCAGCGCTGCACTTCTATGAGTGCCTGGGTGAGAAACGAGCCATGTGTAGAGGCCCGGGCGATTGGGGCGGGGTAGGATGGGATGTGGGCGGGGCAGGATGGGATGTGGGCGGGGCCGGGCACGGTGTGGGCGGGGCGGGCCGCAAGGGGGCGAGGCTGGGCACGGTGTGGGTGGGGC